TCACTACTTGCCAAAGTAGGAGGTGGAACAACGTTTTGTGTAGTATGTTATGCCAATTGAGTTTGATGTCCCCTGTGACTATGGTCCCAAGCCCACAGGTTCAACTACTCGGTCCCTCTGGGTAGCTGGCTGTGACCAAGATTGACTACAACCTTGTCCTTTGTCAGTTCTACTATACACCTGGGAATTCTTACATATCATACAAATAAAATTATAGGACCATTGTCTGCCAAACCTATACATGGTCTTAGGTACACACCCCGCTACATAGACATATTGAATAGTTCAGTCTGGCCACCTGTCTATCCACCCGAATACCCATGTTGCCTTCACTGACAATGCAGTGCAAAAAGATTCATCTGTGTTGTCTGTACCTTCCATATACCTCTTCAAGTCTTCCTCTTCCTGTACTCACATTTGGTACATTGCCCTTCTCTTCACCCAAATCAATACTTATCTCTACCTATCTAATAGTCTTCTCTACGCTCCCCTTCCACCCCTCGTAACCAACAAAGAAAATTTCCTTCCATATCTAAACCTTTCCTTCACTATTACAATAACGGACTAATACAATATTTGTCCTTCTGTGATTATCTTATTTCATTCATCATAATGCCCTCCAAGTTCATCTACATTTTGTGGTGTTTTGCAGATTCTACATTATTCTTTAGGGTTGCCTATTTTGATCAGTATTCCTTGTGTGTGTGTACCATAGTTTGGTTATCCATTCCTCAGTTGATGGGCACCTAGGTTGTTTCTGTGTTTTGGCTATTGTAAATAGTGCTGCGATGAACATGGGTATGCATATGTCAGCTCTTGTCATGGCTCTCATTTCTTTAGGATATATACCTAGTAATGGAATGGCTGGGTCAAATGGTATTTCTAGTTCCACCTTTTGAAGAAATCACCATACTGCTTTCCACAATGGTTGTGCCATTTTACAGTCCCACCAGCAGTGTTTGAGAGTCCCAGTCTCTCCACGTTGCCAGCATTTGTTGTTTTCTGTCTTGTTGAACTTTGCTACTAGTCCTGGAGCAAGATGGTATCATGTTGTTTTGATTTGCATCTCTCTAATGGCTAATGTTCGTGAGTATTTCTTCATATGTTTGTTGGCCGCCTGAATATCCTCCTTGGTGAAGTGTCTATTCATGTCTTCTGCCCATTTTTTAATTGGATTATTTGTCTTTTTGTTATTGAGGTGTTGGAGTTTTCTATAAATTCTAGAGATAAGTCCCTTGTCAGATATGT